GCTGCGCACAGTTCCAGCCCTCGGGTGTTCCACAAAAGCGCAGACTCGGCTGCGCCTGCGTTTTGTGCCTTCCCTGTCCGAGTGGCTCAGGCAGCCAGGAGCTTGACTGGTGCACTCTCCCCGCGTGCAGTGTGCCTTCTCCCCTCCGCAGTCCCAGCCTCAGTTTCCTCCCGCGCCAGTCGGGTGCGTGCCCCTTCTCCCCTCCACGTCCCCAGCCCCAGTCCCCGCCCGCGCCGGTCAGGTGCGTGCGCCCTGTGTCTCTCTGCGACCCTCCTGGCAGATGTCGACCATCCAGAATCTCAGGAGGTCTTTGATTAAAAACTGGAGGCCTGTTTGCAGTGCGGTAGGGGCTGCGGTCCTTGGGGCAGAGCCTGCCCCTTTCCCCTCTCCCCTGCCTCCAGTCTCCGGCGGGGCTGGGCCAGTCTGGTCCTCAGCAGGCTAGCTCCTCTGGACTTCTCGGTTCCTTTGTTCTGTGAACGGCCGGCAGCGTGTTCGCTGGTTAATTTTCTGTCTCTCTTTTGCTATCCCACAGTTTAAGTTGGTAACTCACAAAAGCTCCCACCGATTGTCCTCAGGGCACTCAGGCCCGGTACTTACCCTAAGCCCGCTCCTCTCCGTTCCGCCCCCACTGGCTGGTGGCGGATGCGGGCGTCTGCGGTACTTTTCTGTTGGGAGTTGCTTTTAGGCACATAATCTGTGGGTTTTATTTATTTTTCCCCTCCCAGTTAGGTTGCCCCCCGAGATTCAAAAACGTCCCCCAGACCCGCCAGTGCGAGGGTTTTCTGGTGTTTGGAAACTTCCTCTATTAAGACTTTCTTCCCGGGACGGATCTCCGTCCCTAGCTCTTTTGTCTCTCTTTTTATCTTTTATATTTTGTCCTTCCTCCTTTTGAAGACAATGGGCTGCTCTCTGGGCACCTGATGACCTCAGCTAGTGATCAGAAGTTGTTTTGTGAAGTTTGCTCTGCATTCAATTGTTCTTTCGATGAATTTGTAGGGGAGAAAGTGGTCTCCCCGTCCTATTCCTCCGCCATCTTGGCTCCTCCTCCCCAAATTAGTTTTTTAAACATGAAAGCCAGTGTAATTTAAATTTTTTTTATTTTATATTGGAGTAGAGTTGATTATCCTGGCTTCCCAGGTGGTGCAGTTATAAAGAATCTGCCTGCCAATGCAGGAGACGCAGATTTGATTCCTAGATCAAGAAGATCCCCTGGAGTAGGAAATGGCAACACACTCCAGTATTCTTGCCTGGAAAATTCCATGATCAGAGCAGCCTGGCAGGCTACAGTCCATGGGACTGCAAAGTGTCAGACACGACTGAGCAACACATATGGACACACAGTCGATTTACAGTGTTGTGTTAGCTCAGGTGTGTGGCGAAGTGATTTAGTTATACATATTCATATTATCTGTTCTTTTTCAGATTCTTTCCCCACATAGGTTAGAGGATTGGCCTGTTTTCTTCTCTATTATATAAAAAAGTTAGAGTCTACAATACCTAAGGTCTCTTTCCGTTTTGATATTTTGTGAATTAGATTAAGGCCTGAAATGTATTTGGCTCAGTGCCTGGCATATAACTAGTTCTTAATAAATGGTAGTAATAACTACCACTTATTATTATTATCATTATGAAATCTGACAAATTTTCACTGCTGATTCTGAATTTGATTGACTAGAAAAGTGATTAGAATCCCCATAAATTTGCTGACTCCTCTACTGGACAGTGAAATTTCTAGGGGCAGTTTTTCCTCTTGGCAGCTCCAAACTGCCCATTCCCAATTTATCATTGGTTCACAGAATCTCAGGTTGGAAGAGATCTGAAAAGTCATTTTCCAACAAAAGAGGTAGCAGAGGAAGAAATGAGATGTCTCAGAAGGCAGACTCCTCTCAGAATAATTCCCATTTGTAGAGTTTCAAGATGAGTCCCATGGAGTACTTTTTCACTTCTCCTTGTACTAAACTGCCTGGGTTTCTCTTCATTGCATTTCACTGAATTTTTCTGTTAAGAGCTATGAAGGACCTTGGCAGAGAGGCCAAAGACTAGTGGGGCCTCATTATCAAGTAATATGTTGCTAAGGATCAGGCAGAGTAGAACTTAAAACTGCCGAGTTTCCTGCCATATGGCACGTTACAGAGGGAGAGAGGAGGGTCAGATCGTGAGTGCTAATCTTAGCATACGAAAAGGAAGCATTTGGGGAAGACTTGGATTTCATCTTTTTTTCCAGTGTTCGTGCTGGTTGTACGCTAACCACTGCTATTTCATCGGTACCTTGTTCTTCTGGCTACTGAGGCATTGAAAATAGGGCTGAGTTGGATAACTAGCAGAGCTGAAGGTCATCAAAGAAGGTGGTTTTCTTTTTCTGCTGCAGCTATTGATCCTTATTTGGAAGCTTCATTCTGGCCAACTGGCTCTAATCAAGGAAGCTAATGAGTTCATTAAGGTAGACCCCAAAGCAGGAAGCAGTGTGTGCTTGTACACCAGTAGAGGGGTTTCTTCGGTATTATTTAGGTTTGAGAACCCTACTCTGAGAAAACGCATATAACTGCAGTGGAACATAACCGTGAAAGCCATGGACAACAAGATGAATGAATCTACATTCATACGCTGGATTTGACAGATGAATGGGGGCTCCAAGTCTTTATTTTATTTTTTAAACAGAGCTAGATTTTCCCCTTCTAAGTATATATGCATCCAAATGGAAGAATATACCCTTTGAGTAAGCTACATGCTGGCCCAGGGATTGGTTTACGAAGCAGAAAAGTGGTTTACCCGTTTCCTACCTGACTTTCCAGTTCTCTCATGTCTGATGCAGTGAATGCTGTGTGTGTGTGCCAGGCAGGGCACACTCACAGAAGGCAAGGGTGTTGGTGGAAAGAAAAAGAGAAACACAACATGGAGAAAAAAAGGTCAGTGAGTAACTTGCCCCTCTTAGGAAACAACCTCCAGGCCTCAGGAGACTTGGTACAGAGGCGGCTCCCCATTATCTTCAGAAGGTGAAGCCCAGAGGCAACCCAACTTACAAAGAGAAGCATTTGGGGGCTGCCTTTGCTGTTCTAAACAATGATGGTGCCAGAGTCCCAGAGAAACCTGCAGCCCATGCTACAAACTCCAGTCCTGAAGTAGTTTATGTAGTCCCCACAGTGGCCACCTCCTTTGGGTCATCACCAGACAGGCTCTCCTTCCCATCCAACAGCAAATGCCTTCCTTTCTAAAGGAAAGAAAGGCTGATTGGCATATATTGGATTTTGACTGAGGTCTTCCCATCCCATGTGAAACCCATCAATTTTCTAGAGGAATAATCCAATGTCCTTATGAATAGATACAGGTGCTCTGGGTGGCAATTAACAGTGACCTAACAGACTGTAAACTTTCTAGGCTCCAGGTTGAAGAGGGAACGTACAAAGGGACTAGCCAGTAAGGAGGCTATATCAAAACTCTAAAGCCCAAGCATAGTACTTATGCTTAACTGTCTACAAACCACAACAACAAACCACATTTACTCTAGAGACATTCAGAATCTGAAATCCACTAGTCCTTGTTGCCTCCCCATCTTCCCCTTCCTCCTCTTTCTCCAGTATCCAGCACAATGCCTGGCACATTCTAGGTGTTGAAAAGATATGTGTCTAACCAGTCAAATAAGTAAATAACTAAAATACATGCCTTTCTGCAAATGATTTAGTTCTTCTGATCTTCCACTTCTTCTTCAGTACAGTGGGAATAAAGTCATTTGGTGGGTTTATTTTCAAGATTAAATATTTAATATGGCATACTTTATACGATGTGTAAAATCATAAAATGATAATTTTATGAATTTAACTATGAGTTTTATAAAATTTGCATGTTTTGATTCTGCAGCTTTGGTTCCACTGAGGGAAGGAGGGAGAAAAGTGAAGCCCTAGGCAGATAAAAGAATCATTACCCAAGGTGTGATTATTAATTACCTTCAAATACAGTTAACCACAACTTGGTAAGAAAGACAATGGGGGATGGGAAGAGGAGAGAGCAGGGCGGGGGGCGGGTTAGAGGTATAGTGAATACTTTAAAGGTCAATTGAATTATTTCATAAGGGGTATATATATATATTTTTTTTTTCACAAGAAATCGTTCTGTGCCAGAAAAGGCGGGGAGGTTCTTCAGCAGAAGCGGGTAAATCCGAGCTTCTTCCTGCCTGCTGCAGTCACAGAGCAAGATACAGTAATGAAGGCGGCGCGGCCACACATTTATTTCATTCGAAATTCCTCTGTGGTCCTGTTTATATCGAACTCAGCACTGTTACAGGGCCGTGCTTGGAAAAGTTGCAAAACTTTTCCCTTGATGGAGAAAAGGAAGTCCTCATCAGACTCAGTGGAACGAATGAATGAAGTTATTCCCTTGGCCCAACATCTCCATCCAGTCTAATACCAAATAGTCACAGAAACATCTTTCCCCAATTCCGCGACTGGAATTTTACTCTCCCCTGGTGTTGCCTAGTATTGGAAGCACGGATTTCGAAAGTCAGCAGGCAACACACTCGGGTTTGGAATTGCCAGAGATTGGCTTTTGCAAGAGTCGATGCGCCTTACCGTCCTGTGTGGTATCTTCTCCCGGGAGCAGATTTTGTGAAATAAACAGTTGTTGAAAAGCATGAAGAATTAACGAAGTGAAAATCTCGGGCTATTTGTTCGGCAATTGACACGCAAGTGACCTCCTTAAATACTTACTTGTTTAAGGAGGTTCAGAGCTAGGATGAATGAATCTTGGGGGCGCTTGACCAGAACCAGCTTGTAAATCTCTTTAGTCTTTCGGGAAGTGGCGGTAAATTAATACGAATCCAGAAGGGAGAGGAGAGAAGAGGTTAAAACCCCCACACCGGAGCTCTGCTCTCGGCCCTTTGGAAAGACTCGCTTTGGCTGCTCCGGACCCTGTCGGTTACAGCCCGAAGAACCCAGCGGCGCTAGGACCTGGTTGGCGCCTCACCGTGGCCGCTTTCGGGCGGGCGGAGGAGGGAGAGGAGGAGGGGGATGTGGGAAAGGAGGGGTGTAGAGGGGGGCGGGGGGAGTCATTTATGCAGAGCAGGCGCTGCTGCCATTGCCGCTCACACTCCCAGCGCGCTGCTTGGAGCCGGAGGGAGCTCGGGGAGCGAGCTAGCGAGCGCTCGGAGCCCGCGCCAGCAGAGGGGGCGCCCAGCCGCTGCCTGCACCGCCGCCTCCGCCGCGCTCGGGGGCCCCGGGAGGAGCAAGGGCGAGTCGGAGAGTCCGGGAGCGGAGCCCGGCGAGACCCAGCTGCGGGAGGGCGCCCGCCCCGCTCAGCCGCCTCCTGCGCCGGAGCCGGGGAGCGCCGGCCGACCGCCCCGCGGGCCGTGGAGCTGGGAGCACAGGTCCCCGGAGCCCCAGGGATGGTCTAGGAGTGGGTGCGAGGCTCGCTGCTCAGCTCCCTGCCGGGGCTCGCCGCCTCCTGCCGATCTCCCAGGGCTGCGAGCCGCGGCGGCCGGGGGCTGCGCGCTCGGGCGGCCCAGGCCGAAGAAGTTAAGTTGTGCGCTCAGCTTAGTGAGCGGAGCAAGCGAGCGATCGAAGCAGCAGCCAAGCGCCGGGGCCATGGGCTGGGGGAGCCGCTGCTGCTGCCCGGGACGGCTGGACCTGCTCTGCGTACTGGCGCTCCTTGGGGGCTGCCTGCTCCCCGTGTGCCGGACGCGCGTCTACACCAACCACTGGGCAGTCAAAATCGCCGGCGGCTTCCCGGAGGCCAACCGCATAGCCAGCAAGTACGGATTCATCAACATAGGACAGGTAACCGCTGGCTGGCCGGGTTCTCGGCCCTGAAGCTGAGAGGGCGGGGAAATGGGGGGGAGTCCCCCACGACCTCGCGCTTGTCCCCTCCTCGTCTGTCCCCTCCCCCTCTTCCAGATGTGTTCTTGCAGCTGTTGCCCTAACTCTTCTGCGATGCTCTCTCTCTCCTCTCACTCACTCTTACACACACACACACACACACACTCTCTCTCTCTCTCTCACTCGGTCTCCAAAGTTGATACGATTTGTGTTTTGTTTACTTGTTTCTTGCAAATCAGGAGGGACAGGTAGGGTCTCTGGAAGAATCACGAGTGTACATAACCCCCTGGTAGTTTCAGACCCGACCGGACCTCTTGCAGTGGAAAGTCGGGGAGCAGTGGACTCTTTTAGGGGTTGGGGGGGTAAGCACGCCCCTGGTGCCGGCTCCCTGTGGTTTCTGAGAGCCGGGATCAGGGGAGAGGCAAGGAAGGGAAAGCCTTTCCTGCTCGGACCCGAATTCAGCCCTGAAAAGAAGTTTCCTCTTTTAGGAGCGAGACAACCTCTGGTCACTCAGTGAAGGCGCCAGAGGCGTGGAGGGCTGGAGCTAGACTCGAGAAAGGGGAGAGAGGAGGCGGCCGGACCCGGCGTGAGCGAAGACTTGTGGGGAGACCTCCTGGCTTCCCCTCTCAAGCTGGATAAGCGTGGGGGCTTCTAGATGCAGAGCCGGAGTGGGAGGTGTCAAACTTCCGAGACCACTGACCTGGTTCTGCTTTGGAAAACAGCGGGTCTTCCCTCTGGGAGTTACATGCGGGACCCGGAGGCGGCGGTGGCGCGGGGTTTTTGTGAGGTCCCGCGGGCTTCGGGCGGAATGACCCGAGTGGGGGGACTGTGAATTGGGGGATGTTATGGGAATGATTGGAAGCACTACAGATTTGGAGGTGCCTCCGGGCTTGGCTTCCTCGCTCTCTTTCCTGCAAGAAATGGGTGGAAGGGGCAGTGGAAGCAGGTCCCAGAAAGTGCTCCCCCATCCTTACACCCCTCCCACTCGCTCCCCCTGGCCTGGCCCGAGGAGTGGCGCTGGTCTGACTCTGATGAGACTCTAATGGGGGAGGGAGGCGAGGGTGATCGGGGCGCCCTCACAGCAGGCGCGCTGCTGGGACTGCTCTGGCTTCACGCTCCCCGCGTGCTCTGCCTGGGTGAAGGGAGAGGAAGATGCCGGCTGGGGCCACTGGAGCAGGAGAGCCCAGTCTGTTGGTTTCTGATGCTTTGGACCTCCATGTCCAGGCACACGTCCTCCAGCATGGGTACTCCGGCTGCCTGGGGGACGCAGCATCCAGAGCAGGCAGAGGGGCTGCTGTTACTGCATCTAGCAGGAGCACTGGGGCTTCGGAGGAGCAGGAGGGGGTCAGGTGGGGGCATCTTGCTGCTGTTTGAGGGGCCAGAGAGTGGACATGTTCTGGAGAAACCAGTCTGGTGGAGGGCTGAGACCAAGGCAAGGGGCATGGTCTGTATTTCTCGTCCCCCAGCCTAACACACACCGGAAAGGAAGCCACAGCCAGCCAGATTTTTTTTGTCCGAGTGCTTGTCATTTTCAGGAGAGTTTCATTCAAATGGCTTGTGAGGATTCTACCTGCTTCTTCTATATTCTTTTTATGGAAGAAAACATTAAGTCTATTCAAATCTTTTTTACATGAGCTTGAAGTTGGGGGGTGCTGCATGTGACCTGGGGAATGTAAAAGGAAAGGCTAATAATAAAAGTAGTCATGTTAATAATCTTTCCAGATGCATCTTTCAGGTTCAGCTAACACTGGGCATCTCCCATAAAAGCGGCATATTGGGAAGAATAGTTCTTGACCATACACTTTCTTCATAATCCACAGAACAACCATTTTTGTTGGATATTACTTCACTTACAGCAACAGGGAAACCAATATTCTGGAGAATTAACCCACACAGGCCACCTATCTAGACAGTACAAGGGTGTGAATCAGACCTAGGACTGTCTGGTCCAGGCCTACGCCTGCCTGTGAGGCTGAAAGGAAGGCGGAAGAAAGTAAAATCCCCATTTCCCTGAATTCTGATTTAGTGACTCAGTAGACAGAAAGCAAATGTCCAGGCTTAATTCACAGATACTTAATTCCAACTGACCTGGACTTCTTGAACCTAAGCAGCTTTAGGAATTATGAAAGTGGAAAGATCTGTATCAAAATAAACTCATTAAATAGAACTTACACATTTGGAACCTGTCAGAATGGGGGAGAAGAAATTGTCACAGAACTCATTTTTGAATAAGCAAACATTGTATTATCCTGCAACCTTGCCTGACTTTTTACAAAGGGCTTTAGAGTGAAGATCCGTGGATTTTCATTTAAAAGGTGATACTAAGAAAATTTACATTCAAGTAACACCAAATGTGGTTTATTGTGGTTTTTACAATGCCAATGAGGAAATTGAGAGCTTACTGGGGTGGCAGAGGACTCCTTGAACTGATGCCCTGACCAATGTAAAAAGAATTCTTATAGTGTAAAGCGTTTCCTCTGTAGATCAAAGGGCTAAATCTTGAAGGTGGTAAATTGAGTTCACACATGCAATATCATTGCACTGTAAGGGCCATCTTTTTGTTGTTCTTTCTTTATATCAGTAAGCCAGCTGTGGTTCAGTTGAGGGCAGTAACTAATTTGCAAATATCTCTAGAATGTGCCCCTGTTTTTACCCATTTGGGCTTGGGGTCCCACCTCATGTGTCACAGATTGGAACTGAGGCCTTTTATTGTTTCTATAGTCATTTAATATCCTGGTAGTATTTTTGAGGTCTTTTCTGTGTAATATTTTAGGTGAATAAAATAGTGACTTTGTACCACAGTAAAAATTTGGTTTTGAATATCTGTTCAGAGTTTCGGTGTCATGTTTTCTGTAGCATCTTAGCATTTAAAAGCCACCATACGTAAATTTTTGGCCTGGAGATTTCTACAGAAAACCTGGCCTGTCATGTTCCAGAAAGATAGTATGTAGAGAGTAACATAAGAGAAGTAAGCAAACAGGCAAAAAGAACATGCTTGACATCCTGGAAGGGGAACAGTAATGAAGCTTTTCTTGGCTTGGGTGATAGAGATAGCAGTTATTTTGGTAGGTTTTCACATAATGTTTGTATTTTTGAATGGTTATGCTTCGAAACTCTAAAATGATGCTGTAACTAGTAGTAGTTTTCATGTCATTATATATTATATTTTTCTTGGCATTACCATCAGCTCTATAAAGTCCTGCATTTCTTCCCCTACAAGACCCAACTCCAAGCCGTCTCAATATTTAGTGTAATCAGCACTGCGAGGGTGGCTGAGGGTAGGGACATCTGTCTGTTGGCCCACACAGGAGTGGAAAAAAGAGGCCTAGTTTTTAGCTAGCAGTGGAGTGGTGAGAGGATAAAGAAGACATGAAAGAATAAGACCCAACATGATGTTAATTGTGAACCTTTGTTTGGCTGCAGTCTACAAACCTGGAGGAATTAACTTCTGGGTATTCCAACCCAGGGAGAAGGTCCTCTGTTTTGGCTCTGTGCGCCAGCTGCATTTATCCTTCTGTGAGGTGCTTTTAATCCTTGATTCCAAACTGAGATTACTAGATTACCCTCCCCTCCCCCCACCCCCCACAAAAAACTTTGTGACTTATCTTGAGCAAGATTCCAGAAAGATAAAGCCAGCGGAGACTAATACTGGGGAGAATGTTTTACCTGGCAGTCTCATTGAGAGCAGAGACTTGGAAACCCTACAGATGCCACATGCAAGGTCTAGGAAAGCAGGAAAGTCAGTGAACTTAATGGAGCTCCTGTTCCTTCATCTGTAAAAGAATAAATCAGATAATAGAGGGAATCGGCTCTGTACTGCTCAGCACATAGTTAAGTAGCTTTGGAAAGTTTGTTGAATCCGAATCTGAAATAAGTGAGATTCAGACTTTATTGAGGTATGATAAAAGGAAGACATTTTTATAATGGAAAATGCAACACACTGAAGATCAGGAAAATATGTTTGATGACTGAGTCAAAAAAGCTAAATCAGAGCTCTGTAGACAGGGGAACGGGTTTTCCATTTCAACCAACAATTTGAAACAGTTTAAAAATAGTTTTCCGCTGGGTTCTAAACAGTTCTGGCTGATTTCCCATGGCAGTGTTCCCCTCCCTGGCTGATCGTTGCTGTAATCCATTAAATAATGTAGGATAAGGTCACTGGACATGGGAGAAGGGGACAAAAAGTAATCTGAAGACCAATTATTTTATAAAGCACCTTGCCTTGGTACATTATGAGAAGTCATGTATGAACTCCTATTTCACTTAATTCTGAATGTGGTTTGCATGACAAAGGTGACAAGAACCATTTTCCAAATCAGCAGGACAGGATTCTTTAGCAGGAAGAACCTTGTTCAGCAATGTCCTGAAGGTCTCTCACTTTCTTGGTTAGTTTTGACCTGTGAATAACGTGGGATGCTTGAAGTGCTGGTAAGCAGTGGAGGGTGAGTGCCCCGTGCTCATGGATGGCATCAGAAATAGGGGACAGGGCTAGTCTGGTGGGTTGTATGGGAGTGCACTGTGTTCCCCTAGTTAAATCCTTAGGCCTTTTGTAAATGGATGTGGGAGCCCCAGATTGATCCCTGTGTGATGCATCTGGCTTTGCACCAGGCAAGAACCTCGGCTCTGATCTCCACACCCAAGAACCTTAGCCCTGACCTCTGCTAGCCACCCTCACATGCATAGTTCTCATGAGTGGGGGAACCTTTCAGGAGAAAAGCATTTCAGAGTGCTTGGTCTGCTGATGGTGGGTCTGTTGCTTTAACCTCATAGGCTAGGAATGGCTTGTATGTGGCCATTGGGATTTTCGGGGTCTATTTGAAATGAAACACTGCATTTTTGTGAGCCCCAAGGCAGTTGAATTTGCCTTATGACTATCTTTCATGAGTTTATATCCAGAGGTCCTAATCTTAAAGGTCAGCCAGAGAAGCAGGGTAGTGCGCTGGGAAAGTGTCCAGCCATGT